AATCTACTTCACACCATACACTAAAATCAATTCTATTTGGATTATAAATCTAAATATAAAAGGTAAAACAATAAAGATTCTGAAAGATAACAAGGAGAATGTTTTCATGACTTTGGATAGACAAAAATTTCTTAAATAGATCACAAAACGTACTAACTGTAAAGGAAAAGATTGATAAATTAAACTACAATAAAATTAGCAACTTTTATTCATCAAAAGACACCATTAACAGTGGGAAAGGGCAAGCCACAGCCTGGGAGAAGAAATTTACAATACATACAACCTCAAAGGATTTCAATCCAGAATATATAAAGAATTTCTGTAAATCAATAAGAAAAAGACAGACCTCACAATCAGGTAATTGACAGAAGACGTGAACAGGCACTTCACAAAAGAAGTTTTCCAAATAGTCACTAAACATATGGAAAAGTACTTCATTAGTCATCAGGTAAATTTAAATTAAAACAACTACATACTCACTACATACACAGAATGGCTAAAAGTAAAAATAGATTGACAATACCAAGTATTGGTGAGGATATGGAGCAACTAGAACTCTCAAACACAGCTTCTAGAAGTGTAAATTGGTATCTCTGCTTTGCAGAACTGTTTGGGAGTATCTACTAAAGTTTACCCATTTATTTCACTCTGGGGAATATACCCAACAAAAACCCTTGCTATATGTATCAAAAGATCTGTACAAAATTTTGAAACAACTCCAAAATCCATCAACAAATAGAGATATAGTCAGGTGGTGGAATACTACACAGTGATAAAAAGTAGCATGTTGCTGACACAAGCAACAACATGGATGAATCTCACAAACATAACATCAAGCCAAAGAAGTCAAACACAAAAGAGTACATACTGCATGATTTCATAAATCAGTAACATTAGTGTCAGAAGTCAGAATTGTGGTCACCTTTGAGGACAAGTAAGGGGGTAATAACCAGGGTGTCAGGATGCCCCATCACTATCTGAGTGCTGGTTACACAGTTGTGCTCACTTTGTGATTATCAATTGAGCTGTTTCACATGATTTGTGTCCTTTGCGACATGGGATATATATTTTAAAAATCACTTTAGGGAGCAAGAGTAGAACTAGAGAGATGGTTAAGAAGCTGTTGTAATAGTCCAGGCAGGAGAGAATGATGGTGTGGATGTGAGGGGATATGGTGGAGAGGGAAAGAAGTAGACAAATTTTGGACGCATTTTTGTAGAAGAGCTTAAATGACTTGCTGATGGATTGGATGCTGAGAGAAAGGACGGATTCGACAGTGGTCCCTGGATTTGTGGCCCAAGCAGCTGGGCAGATGTGGAGCCACTGGTCCAGATGAAGAAAACCGGGAAAGGAAACAGCACCATTTAGATGCCTTCATATGTTACCTCATTTATCCCCCAGCAACTTTCCTTGGAAGCTATTTTTATCCCCACTTTATAGAAAAGGAAACTGAGGCTCTCAGAGATGCAATGATTTGCACAGGGTTACACAGGTCTGGAAGGAAACAGAATGGAAAGCCTTTACCTGGGAGGCAGTCAGGCGTAGAGCTGGAGCCAGCAGACTCATGTCAAACAGCCAGGGTTTGAAGCATGCCCCTGCCAGAGCCCAACAGTGGGCAAGTCTCTTGACTTCTTTCTTTACCTGTAAAGTGGGGATAAGAGTCATACCTACCTCATAGGGGTAATATATGTCAAGGGCTTTAAAGGGGCCTGATACAAGTCAGCCCCCTGTAATTACCAGGGTCCAAGTGGACTTCCCATAGGGGTGGAGAAACAGAAGGTAGGTTCTGCTTCTCGAGCCAAGACTGAGTTTCATTAGCATGGTGATTGCCCTTTAAAACACTGAAATGAAAGAGACGATGGCATATAATGCTATTGCCACATAATAGAGACCATCAGGACCAAAATCCAAGAGCCAAAAGACATAAAGTGCATATGACAGAGGAAATCCTGGCTTGGCTGGGATTTCCAGCCAAGCCACCTGGGTGCCAATATGCTTTTCTGTATGTTGGAGAGGAAGATTGTTACAATTATTCAGCAACGATTTTGGACAACTAAATTCCAGCCTCCCCAAGGTGCTCAGAGGTAGGGAGCCATAGGTTTTTAATTCCCAGAGTCAGTAGTTTAAAGAATTCTGCACTCTTGGACTAAGTGATGCTTCTCATCACTTCTCTCTTACTTGAATTACTGCAGCAGCCTCTAAAGTAGATTCCTCCAATTTCTTCCTCTTCAACAAATACTTCCTGAGCACCTACATTGCTCCAGGTTCTCTGCCAGGCACTAGGGAACAAAAAGAACAAGCCATAGGCACGATGCCTTCATGGAGCTTCAGGTCCACATCACTCCAGAGTGGTATTTCTGTTATTAGAAAGCACTTTGCAAATTGTAAAGGACCAATCCACTGTGGGAGCTGCGGGATGGTCAAGGTGATGACAGCAGTTGTTAAGGCAGAGTTCTGGCCTCTCACTGCCTCACCATGTCTGCAGAATAAAGGCATACAGCCAAGTCCAAACTGACCTCCAGTCTCATTTCCATCCGCTACGCCTTACATCAGACTGACACTCCATGCACACCAAACCGCTAACAGTCCCTTCATTTCCACACCCCAGGGCCCTTGAATATTCCATTTCCTCTGACCGAAATACTCCCCACCTTTTGTCTGCCTAGAAACTCCCACTTAATCCTTCAAGATCTGGTTTCAACCTTCTGTAACTCCTCCCCACGTATGGCGTTACTCTCTCCATCCTCTCCTTCCGCTGCACTCTCTACCTGAGTGTTTCTCAATAGGGGTTAAGATATAACAGAATGCCCTAAGAATCATCTTCAAATCCCAGGCCCATCCCTGCTCACCAGACATTCAGATTCAGTAGATCTGGGATGCATAACGGATAAGAGCTCAGGTATTGAGTTGCACAAACTCAGGTTAAGTCCCTCATGACCTTGGCGGAGTTACTTAACCTCCCCAAAGTTCTGTTAACCCTGTAAAATGGGGATAGAAAGAGGCAGGAATGATTAGTTGAGACAAAGTGTGTAAAACACTTAGTACCAGACACTTGGGGAGCGCTGAACAAATTGTAATTGTTATTGAAAAGAATTTCAGTTTATTCTGACCCTGGCAGCCTGCCCATTTCTTCCCCACCCCACCTATCTCCAGGGTGAGAATCATTGCTGAGTATTCATGAAATTTTATTATTAGCCATTGTCTCTGTGCCTGTCTCTCTTACTAATGTGAAATCCTGGAGGGCAGAAGCCATGTCTTAGTTCTAGACCCCCAGCATGTAGCACAGTTCCAGGAACAGCATCACCACTTACAAGCTACGTGTCCTTTGTCAAGCGAGTTTGCCTCTTTCAGCCTCAGATGTTTTCAATAGTGGGGAGAATATTACCTACCAGATAAGGTTGTTATGAATATCAAATGAGACCATGGATGTGAAGGTGTATGGTGTGGAGGAGCAGTTGTTATGATTTTGCCATCCAGGGTTAAAAGAGCTGTGATTCGGGCCTGTCACCTCACAGCCACATATCTGTGGTCCCCCCACTTCCTCTTCTTCCCTGTCCCATGGAATACCAGCGTGACCCTCTTTCTTTAAACTTTCTTAGTTGATTTATACCTAACGGAAGATTACACAATGACCTGCACAATAGCTCAAGCCTTTCCAGCAACAAAAGGACCATGGACGCATTGCATGTAAGGTGCTTCCTCTCAGAATGCTAACCACCAAGAGTGCTGCAGTGAGCAAGACAGACATGATCCCTGTCTCAGAAGAGTTTCCATTCTAGTTGAGGTAAAACCAAAGATAAATAAACTCATTTCAGAGAGTAATAATTACTAAAAAAAATGAAGTAGGAATGTCATGGGGGAGCAAACATCAGACAGGGGCCAGAGAATGCCTCTTCAGGAGGTGACATTTGAGCTAAAATCCAAAGGACAAGACTCGGCCATGAGAAGCTCAAGGTTGTGACGGCCCAAGTAGAGAGAACAGAAAAAAATTAAATTTTTACAAAGCAGCTTGGTACAAAATGGAAGTCACCATGGATGGAATTACTGAGTCAGGACAGAGTTAGTGGTGATGGGTTAGGCAGGAATGCCACCATGTGGGGCTTTGCAGGCTGTGATAAATATATATATATATATATATATATATATATATATAAATCAAATGAACAATCACACAAAGAAAAGGAAGTTACTTTGACCTCTGCTTCTCACATGTACATTCATTCAGCAGATATAGTTCAACGTCTCTTGTGTGCCAGTCATCATGCTAGGAGATGGAGATACAGAGAAAAATAAAATATGGAGCCAATTTTTATGAGCCTGGTAGCCGAGGATATAAATGCATAAATAATTATAATACAATGTGATAAGAAGTCTAGTAGAGGGATGTAAAGACTGAAGGAGCCTAGACAAGGAAGTGATTGTGCCTTAGGGATCAGGGAAATTTTCATTGAGAATTAGGACACTTTAACTTGCATAAAAAGCATAAGTACTAAGGGAGAAGAATGTCCCTGCAAAGAAAGCAGCAGGTGCTAAGGCACTGGGGTGAACCTGTTCAGAATGTGTGGCCATCTGTCCTAGTGGGAACACAGCTTGACAGGAGGCCTTGGGTCTTTCTGGTGAGGGAATTTAAATGCCACACCAAAGAGTTTGCATTTTATTATAGATGTGCTGTATACGTGGAAAGTTTAGAAAGCTCTCTCTAGGGCATAGTAGATGATGGACTGGAATGAGGTACCAGAGGCAGTTAGACCAGTGAGTGGAGTTTGCAACAGAGCAGGTACAAGACCTGTATTTGGCTATTGGTCACAGAAATGGAGAGGGAGGGAGAAATATCTCCAAGGCAGGATGCCCTTTGTCCCCTAAGAAACAGGACTCAAACTTCAGAGCAGAACTGACTGTATGGGGAACTCCCCCATGTTTCCCTCTTGGTGTCAGAGACACCTCTGCTGGCGCCCTCTCTCGTCCCCGTCGCCAGCCCCCGCCTTCTTTCTCAGGAAGCTTGGGTCTCCCTGGGAGCGGGTCTGCCCTTGTGGGAGGCCTCTCGGCTCTGTGCCCTGCGGCTCGGCTGACCTTCGGGGCGGACCTAAGAGGGGCTCGGCGCCCGCCGCGTGCACATGTGCTAGCCCAGGCGGGAGGCAGCTCCTCCGCGGAGGAGTCCAGGAAGAGCGGGAGGGAGAGGCGCGCCAGAATCTCGGTCCCGGGCGCCCTGGTCGGCCGCGGAGGAGCTGCAGCCTCCAACAGGTTCGTAGAACGCGCGCTCGCTCTCTGTTGCTGAGCCGCCACCTCCCCCGCTGGAGCAGGTTCGCCGGAGAGACCCCAGCCGTAGGCCCCGCGCTGCGGAGCTCCCTGAGGGCGGCTTCCTCCCTCCTTCCTTCTCCCGGTAGCTCTCAGGCGCCGCCGGCTCTTCCGGGGCGCGGCGGCGGGCGACGGGGCTCCTTCTCGCTTCAGCACCACCTCGGGGACAGCTCCCGCGCCGGCGGGGTCCTCTCCCCGGTCAGCACTGCACAGGCGGACAGCGGCCGCCGGCCGGCTCCTCTCCTCTTGGGTCCGGGTTCCGTACCACGGCCGCCGAGGACCGTCCCTCGCCCCCGCGGGCTCGGCTCCCCGCGTCAGCACCGCGGCGGCGGACAGCTCTTGCCGGCTGCCCGCTTCCTGGCGAGCTGCGAACAAAGACGAGGGGCTGGGGCCTCCCGCGTTCCTTGGGAGTGCGTGGTTGCATCGATCGGGGGATTTCGGCTTCCCCCAGAGCAGTGTCGGGGAGAGCTGGGGAGGGGGGCCTAGTCACAATCGCGCGTCTCTGGCTTGGGTCTGCAGTTCGCCAAGGCCTGGCTGTGCAATGGCGGGTCCCAGCTGGAAGTCAGAAAGAGGATGGGAGGGGAGACAGGCACAGAAGGGTCCCGGGCTCCAATCGGGCGGCCTGGGCCGAGGCCAGGAGGAAGGAGTGCGCCGCCCTCGCTTCCCTCCAGAACCCCACTTTGCCCCTAGCTCAGGACCACGGGCTTCCTTCGGAGAGCCTAACACGGATGCCCGAGGCTGGTGGCTGCAATCATTGACTCTGGCTGTCCCCGGAACATCCCTAGAAAGTGTGAGGCTGAGTTTCCGTGGGGGCGGGGGCCGAGAAACCGCGAGGAAGCCGCACAAACGGGGCAGCTCCATGCTCCCCCTTCCTCCTGCCCAGGGTTCCGCCCCCACCTCCGGAGTGAAGCCCGCAAGGAAGGAAGGCGGAAGGGGGGGACCTGGGCAGCAGGTTGTGAACCGGCTTGGCTCTGGCAGGTTGCAATTAGCAAGAAAAGAGGTTGAAGGAGAATGAGAAGCTGACAGGTTCCCAAACAGGGAAGCTAGTTCAGCGGCAGGAAACCAAATGTGGAAGAGGAAACCTTTTCTCCCAGCTGAAGCTGGGAGGGCCCTTGTGTCACGTGGTCCTCTCCCTAGCTGACCGTCTCAGCGGGAGACCCGGCCTAGGGGCACAGGTGATTTGCCCAAGGTCACTCAGCAATTTAGTAACAGATTGGGTCTAAAAGCCCAGGCTCCCAAAATGCTGGGCCTGTTGTACAACATTCATAGAGAAGTCTTTTAAAATCCCAGATGCAGGGAGAAGAGCAGAGTGGTCACCATTCTGAGTCCAGATCTCAGCTCTGCCACTTACTAGCACGTGGCCTTGGGCAAGCAACCTTCTGAGAAGGCAGGTTAGTAGTACCCATGGTGGTGAGTATTTAATGAAATACCTGTACAATGAGCTTAGGGCAGTGCCTGGCACCTAGTAAGTGCTCAAACAATGGTAGCTACCATTCCTGCTATCATTCCCTCTGTAAACATGTGCTAAAGACCGCTTATGTGCTCAGGCTGTGCCCTGGGGAGATAGAGAAGTGTCCTGAGGAGGACACAGACCAGCAGAGGAGGCAGACAAGAAAACAACTGCAATATGATGTGATAAGTGCTATAATCAAGGTGAGTACACAAGGCTGTGGGTTCTCAGAGGCAGGAAGTGATGAACTGTGGGGAGAGGAGAGGAAAAGTACCTCGGACAGATGGAACTGTGTGTAAAGGCCTAGGGGTGTGAAATCACAGCCACCAGGGTGAGGTCACTGTGCCAGAGGGTCCTTGAGATGGGGATTGTGAAATGAGACTGGAGAGAAAGGCTGGAGCCAGTCTCCAAAGGGCCTTTTGTGATGAAATATTTCAAACATATTTTTTAAAATAGAAAGAATAGTATAATAAACCCCCACGTACTCATCATCCAGCTTCAACAGTTGGCCAATTTTGTTTCATCTATACCCACACCCACTCTCATCTCACACACACACACAAATTTATTTTGAAGCAAACCCAAGACATCATATCATTTAGTGCAGAAAGATTTTAACATCAATAACAACTTCTGCCATTCGAATGTTGTTCCACCTTGGGAGTCACTAACTCCAATCATGACTTTCCCTCCTCAGTCTGTTCTGAACATTCGTGTTCTTAGCAGGAAGTTTGAGAGAGGCCACACTATGCTGATGAGCCACATGCATTAGAGAAACTATTGCAGAAAAAACAAGGGGTACATCAACCCTCAATAGGTTTTACCAAGCCAGAATTTTTTATCTCCACTACCTACACTGTGGCCAGAGGCCAGAGACTATTTGCAAGGCTGACCAAAAGACAAATTGAATCTGGTAAAGAAAAGGAAAAAAGTGAGAGCTTTTCTTTCAAAGTAATCTGAACCATAAGCTCATAAGGTTAGAAGGCTTGAAGTCATGGAAATCATTGACTTGGAAATCAACAAACTCAACAGGCACATCTTACGGTTGAGGAAGACAAGGATGAGAGATGGAGAGGAATGTACCCAAAGTTCCACAGGCTGAACCCAGAGCCAAGACCTTTGAACTCATAATCCAGAGTCCTTTTCAGTTCACCAAGTTGCCAGGAAGATTAGGCCTTAGAGGCCCTCAACCCCCGAACTTGGGAAGCCATTTGCTTCCCCAGCTCAAAGCAGCTGGAAGGAAGAGGGAGAAGTGGGGCAAGAAACATTCTTTCTGGTTCTCAAGAAGATGACAATGTATGGCAGTTGGTCTTTGAGATGCTTTGACACATTTCCCTTCCATATCCTTTTGAAGAGAGTCTGTGATGGTAGTGCCTATATTCTAGCTGCTGCGCGTATCTCCCACCCAGCCCCTTGGTTCTCTCTAGCAAAGGCTCTGCAGTGGGACACCCTGACCTCATTTCTGTGCATTTTTGCCCGTCCTGCTTGCCTTAACCAAATGCCTATGAAACCTCTCTTTTTCCATTTGCCCTGAATTTGGCTGCATATCCCTCTCGGCTACAGACCGCCACTCCTTAAGGTGTTAAACGAGTAGTGTTCAGCCCAGGCCCTGGCAGGACTTAGCTCTTGTGCGTTTCTGGAGCATGAAGTCTCTGCTGTTACTGATGAAACGTAATGGCTGTGACCAGTGTATGTGCTCCCATCAGGCTCTGGGCACTCACAAGTCAGCATTTTCACTTTTCAGGGGTGTCCCTGCCTGAAAAATGAGGAGGGAAGTATCTCACAAGTTTCCCTCAGTCTTAGATGGATGAAGGAAAACACATGGGGAGTTCTAAGCATCCCTGGTGAAGGGAGTCAGCAGAGAGTGGTCCTCGCTTTTGGGAGTATGATTGCAGGCAGGACATAGAAAGGTGACAAAGATAGTGATTTTCAACTTGTGAAATTATCCTAGCTTTTAGCCTGAGATGAGACTGATTTAGATATATTCTATCATATTATCTGGGCCTAGTTGAATTGTAACATGTAGGATCCCCAAGGGACCTTGGTGAGCATCTACTCTTCCTCCAGCACTTACTTATTGAGTGGCTATTCTGTGCCAGGCACTGTTCCAGGTGCTGAACAAGATATCCCAGATCCCTGCTCCCATGGGGCTCACAGACTTGCAGTAGACACAGTCATTAATAACAGTTAAAAAGTCAATATGAAAACATTTAAGCATACAAACAAACAATAGGGGAGGTCTGTCTGAAACGGTGACATGGAACTGAGGCCTGAATAACAAGAAGTCAATCACGTGAGGAAGTGAGGCAGAACATTCCAGGCAGAGGAAATAGCTCTGGCAGAGGCCCTAATGTGGGCCTGGAGTGTTTGGGAACAGACAGGAGGCCAGTGCGGCTGGAGCAGAGTGAGTGAGGGGGAGAGTGGCAGCAGATGAGGTCAGGGTTGGGGCAGAGCCTTCTAGGCCATGGTCAGGATTTTGGGTTTTATTCTAAATGCAATGGAGTGTCACTGGATGGTTTTAAGAAGGAGAGTAATAAAAACTGGTTTTGTTTTTAAAAGATGTCTCTGGTTGCTGCATGGAGAATGGATGATATGGGGATGCTGGGCTGGTCACAGAGGAGGCAGAGAGGGTAAGACTCAGCCTCCCCGCCCCCCCCCAACCCGAGGTGCTCAGCATCCAGCAGAGGAGACAATGCACAAACCAGAACAACAGTACCCGTGGGAAACGCTGCCATGGGGAGGGATGTGCAAGGCGTTGTAGGAACACAGAGACAAGAAGAATTCATTCAGCCTGGGAGGCATCAGGGAGGGCTTCATGGAAGTTGGCAGTGGCTGTTAAGCTGTACCTAGAAAAGGAAAGTAGTAGGTCCAGGGCCCAGGACAGACAGAGAGGCAACAGCACAGCAGTGGCGTGCGTGGACTGGGAGCCAGGCAGCCGGGGTTCAAATCCCAGGTGTGCCCTGTAGCAGCTGTGTGGACTTAGGCCAGTTGCTTCCTTCTCTGTGTCTCAGGGTCATCATTCAAACAGAGAGGACAAGAATCACAGTGCTTATTTCAAGGGGTTTTTGTGAGGATTAAATAAGTGAAAATTTGTGAAGCACTTAGACAAGGCCTGGCACTTAGAAAGTGACATATGAGTGTTGGTTAAATAAAAATGGAGCAAAATGGGGGTGGGAGAGCAGGGAGCATGTGCTGAGAAGATGGACTAGAGCCCGACTCTGCAGGGCCTTGACGATCAGGCCAGAGATGCCCATCATGCTCTTTAAGCAATGAGGGGTCATCAAAGGCTTTTAAGCAGGAGGATTAGGGGTGGAGAGTAAGCTAAAACCCAAAGGCCCAGAGAGGGAAAGGGACCTACCCACAATCACACAGCTAGTTCCTGGCAGGACACTGTCATCTGTCGTCTCTCCTGATCCAATGTTGTAGGAGGACAAGGGCAAGATATATTTTGTTCCCCCATCACATCCTCAGGGTTAGAAGAATGCCTAGGACATTC